CAAAAGTTAAACAAATTCAAACATAAACTATGTGTGTATGCAAGAAAGAGAAAAGATTTAGTTGTATGTAACTAATTACTCGGTGAAGAAGATGAGCTGAGCGGAGAGGAGAGAGGAGGCAGGCGGCGGAACACCTTACAGGAATGTAGGAGAAGAAAACCAGAAAATGGAGCAAATAGTACGGTTCGGAAACCATACGATTCATCCAGTTGGATGACGACATTTCTGAATCGGCAGATCTCTGAAAATTTGTAAACTCAAAACAATTAGGCCCTCATAGAATACATAGGGCTCTTGATGTTGGACTATCCAATATGGGGAGATGTTAGTGTCTGGTTAACGAATCATCTCGTCGGGGGTTTGTAACTGTTATCCTTTGGAGATAGTTAATCTAACGGTTATAAATTTCGACAGAATGATTCTGTAATGGAACCGTAACATTTTTCTCAAATATGTGTACTTTTTAATCTTGATTTCAATGGGTTGTTACAAAACCATGTTTCATTTTTTGATCATATTAGTCACCCATTTCAAAATATTGAAGTTTCTATAATCTACCCATATTAGTGCTTTTAGTAATTGTTTCGTCAAATATAAATATATCATTGTTGATATCCAGATCGGCCCAACCCGAAATAACCGGTTCGGTCAACAAAACCAGGGAAAACTACCCTCGAGGGTGGGACCGGGCAGAAAGCTGACGGTGGGTACCGAACTGGTTGAAGGTCAAAATCGGTGGTGGTGGTGTTTTGAGTACTAGTCGAGATCGGTAGCTACCTGCCTCCGTCGGGGAGCCGACCCATCGTAGAGCCGAACCTGATAACGAATCTCGAGGGCCTCGGAGGGGTCCTTTCCCGAGTGCCGACCTGAGGGCTTGCAAGGGACGACCCGGGAATCAGAGCCGAACATGAAAGTAATATAATATACAACTTGCTGCTTAATTATTATTGATGGGGCGGGCCGACCTAGCCTACTAACCTAGAGGACCTAGCCCGGCAAAAGGAGCTGATAGCATTTAATGCTGCCCATGTGGGCATTAAATGCCTAGCTAGCAATGATTGGAGAGCCTCAAATCACATTTAATGATCTGTCAGGAAAGCGTCGATCAGGACTGCAGGATTATTGTACGACAAGACGGTGAACAGTGTCGGAATAGTGGCATTTAATGACACTATAAATAGTCCCCCACCTCATTTATGCAGGGGTTGTTGAAACCTCAACTAACAAGCCCTTTCCATCTACTTTCTCTCTCTAAAAATTGTACTAAACTCTTGTAAGGATTGTAAGGATATCACAAGTGCCGACCTCGTACGGAAGGCCGACCCAGTGATCACTTAATAAAACCATAATTAGCTCGTATCTTCCCTTCATTTCCTGTTTCGTATTTTCGTTACTCTTTATTTTAACCGTTGATCGGAACCATCCATCAACAATCATTAATAATAAACTTACTTATTAAAATATAATTTATTCCTTCCTTGTGCAAAAATTGTTGGATATTTCGGTAGAAAATACACGGGAATCCTACGAACTGATATGTATTTTCAGTTCTTACAAATAATCTAAAAATAAAAAATTACAATTGAACTGAAAAATAAATTACAACTGAAAAAACGGAAAGATTTTAGCCGAGCCGAGTAAAACTCTTTCCGCAAGAAGAATACGCCCCGTGTGGCTGCTAACGGTTCAGGCGTAACTTCCTCAAAGATACAACGACAAACGTCTCTAAATCTGTAGCACACTAGATTTACGAGCACCGGCGAACTTGAACGGAGTTGAGAATTGAGCACTAAAAATAAAAGGATATATCATAAAACAAATAAAAATATTATTTGTTTCTTTTCTTTTGATATATTTATATCTAATATTTGGACAACAATATATCTCTCTATTTCTTTCGTATCTTTTTTTTCTTCAAATTATTCTTTCAACCGTGTTGTTCTTTCTCTTACCTATCTCCCTCTTTCCCTTCAGCATCCAAATATATATACTAGACAAATTAAACCATAATTGATATATTTTAATATAATTAGTTGGCAAATTGGCCAACTAATGTTAGGCGTTGAATTTGAAAGATGGCCACCAAAGATTCCTCCAATCATGAAAACCACTCCATATTCAATTCATGAAATGAAAGCCCACCAAAGATTCCTCCAATCATGAAAACCACTCCATATTCAATTCATGAAATGAAAGCCTCCAATCATGAAACCACTCCATATTCAATTTATGAAATAAAGGCCTCCTAATATCATATTTACACTCACAATTTCTAACAATCCCCCACATGAGTGTAATATAAATTTACTATGTGCTAAATCCTCACAAAACTCTATTGCATCAGAGAAGGTAGCTTTTGGCTTTGAACCTTTCTTAGTAAACATCATTGGATGCACTGGCGGACTAGTGGACATATTGCCTTGAACTATTCCTCCATAGTGTACACCGAGACAATGACATTCACACAATAAAGTCATAACTCCATTTCGTTCTATCGTTGTGTCCGTTTTGGCCATGGACAACACAATGGATTCATAAGTGTTTACATTTGAAGCGGCCCACACTTCACACTTATATAGGTGACCTCCCTATCAATAGCATCCTGTCATACTCCACCTTTAAAAGGTTAGAGATTCATTAAAAGTCCACATGACTTACCCTCACCACAATCAACAGGTAATCTTGCACTTGGAATGCTCTGGGGAATAGCTTTGGACATTCATATGTTCCAAGTGCTCAACTGAATTTTCATAGCTTA